AGAATCGTATGTGAATCGCCTCGTTCCCCATCTCATGTATGTGGAGGCTGTCCGATATTTTCGTTGTTATCCATTAGCGAAAAAAAGGCACGCACGAAGTGAGTAATGGACGGCCATGTACGGACGCTGCCACGGTCGATCGCGCCGATTTTCTCTGTTCTGTTCTCCTTTTCGTTCCGTTGCCCTCCTGTATAGGGCCATATCCCCGCATGATCACATTTTGGCGATCTTGCGATCTAAGCGCCTTCGAGCTAAAGAGAGATCTTTGTTTTTCAACTCGGACGGGGTATATAAATAAAGCGCATGAGGCGCGGCGCTCGTCGATTACGCGACGATCAAAAAAGAATCAGGCGAAGGTAGGCATCGACGTCTCCATATAGGGCGCTAACCGAAGCCGGTGGAAGGCCTTTTAGATCCTAACCTGGGCCACTCGAAACCTCTTACGGGATGGCCTTGACCTCGCGATGAGTTTGGGAGAGTCGAAGGTTTACTTCGGGCTAGTTATGACGACGCCGAATGATTAAAAGAGATCGCGAAGTGGTAAAGGAAACTTTTCTGACAATCTTTCCAACAATCTCTCGCGTAGAAAAAGTTTCTTTTCTAATATTTCACTATGCACCATGTAGTAATAAGTAATATAAAACGCATATAAAAAATAATTAATAAAACTATATCGAGATATAATTGAATAAATTGAATAAAAATCAGCGTTGGCGCGTGATTCTCTGATTCCGGTTCTGATGCTCGAGTCTTGCCTCTTTGTGAATTTCACGGGGCACGATTCGACTGCGACTGTAGACGCAGATTGAGGTAGATCAGGCGCGAGGTAAGCAGGGAGCAGCTGATGCACCGGCTGTGCAACAGGTCGTCCCACGTGCTCGGGTTCGACAAAGGCGCGCGAAAAATGAGGATGAGGAGACCTCGAATATCGGAGGATATCGCGATCGTGGTCAATTTGCAAATGAATTAAGGCGTGACATTTCATGTCGAGACGCGCATTTCATGTTCGAGCATATTTCGCTCGTTTTAAAAGTACCATCACGTCTCACCGATAACCGACGTGAAAGCCGGCGATGGCATAACGCGAGCGTCCTTGCCCGGAGCGAAATCCGGGCGATCGGGCATATACTAGATCGTTAGGATTTTTTCATCGCGTTCGCACGTGGCAGCTGTGCGGAGAAACGTGGCCGTTGCTTCGACAAACGCGAAGCCCGAACCGGAGATTTGCATTCGATGATCGATTTCGCACATCCTGTTCACTATTTATATTCTTTGAGCGTGCAGTCGAAGTCCTACATATTGAGCGAGTTCCGGTGATTGAACCGATCTCATCGTGAAAGATTCATTGCTCGGAGTTAACTCGACATCGAAATACTTTACTTTTGAATCTTTAAAACCTAAAGTAATAAGGAGATTGTTGCAAATTGATTTGAAGTGACCTAACTGCACTGTTGGAAAAAATATGTTGAATTTAACATAAATCGCATGTCCCAAACGGTCCACTCAAAATTTTGTATTAATTTAACATAATATGGATGTGTTAAATAGTAACACCGACACTATGTTAATATTTCAACAAAAAAGAAATGTACTCTTGATCTTAATTTGAAGTTAATTGTATGTTACAATTAACATAATTTTTATGATAAAATAACATGTCGAGACGAGTCAAAATTCAAGACTGTGCCGAAACCACACAAAGAATAATAACAAGTCATCCCCATTCCTGTTATAGAATAAAACCAATATTTTTTTTGTGTAAATTTTAACATATTGAATAAATACGTACGAATTGTGTTATTTTAACACATTTCTTAAATCATTTTAATAATTTTACATTTTATATTTGTTAAGGTCAGTTAACATAGTAGACATGTATTAAATTTACATATAAATATGTAGATTATTTAACACAAAAATTTTAACAAGGACCGATTTTAACACAAATACAAAATGTTTTTTACTGTGTGTAATGTTACTTGTAGTAATGATAGTAATTTGTTAAAGATAATTGAGAGAAAGAGTTGATAGAGCAGCTATTAGAGAGAAAGAGTTTTCTCGATTTCTTTTCAGATTTGATTTAAATTCGCAATAAATTATGAATTATTAAGCAAACGCGATATGAATCAAACGATTTTGCACCAACGCGGTTTAATCGCGGTCACCTTGTCGCAATGTGGTCATGGCCTCTATCGGGTTGGGGTAGTGGTCGGGTAGTGATCGTCTCCCCCTTCACTTTTACTCGTATCTATGATATTCTCTCGGTGATAAAAAGACCGAGTTACTCGAAGAGATGTTTTTTATGCTGTTGTCGCTCGCTCCGATTATCATACGGTTCTCCCATTCGAGATCGATCGGCGCGTTTGATTGAGATACAGATCGCGATCGCGGCACGCCGATACGTGAATCACTCTCGCGATGCTGAGTAAGATATCGCACGGGGGGAAAAGTTAGTCTCCGCGACTCCATAATTGTATGCCATTAAATGTCGACGCTGGGCGAGTAATTGACAAACGTTGACATGTAAACGGTCCACGCTCGACACGCAACGACGATACGTAGGAAAGATCTTTAGCCATCAAGTCAGCCTCTTTCACTGACTATATTATTAATGCACCGTTTAGTAAATTACGTATATTAGCAATTACTTAAAGTCAAATGATTCATAATAAAGATTGATTGTACTCTTGAAACATCGGCAAAGGCGATAAGAGATAAATGTTCAATTGTCCATACGAATATAAATTTTGCTTCCGTAACTAAAGACTTTATACAGATTTTACGTTCTATGTAGAAATTTGAAAGAAATAAGACATTAAAATTGCAAATTTGGATTTTGAGGACGATCGTTGCCACACAATTTTATTTTCGCTTAAAATTCTTACTTTCTCTTTTTTCTCATCTTTTGCTCTAACAAACCTGAGTTATTGACAAAATAAGAATCAGTCCATGGATATGTATTGAATCGTATTTTACATCAACATTAAGTTACATCAACATTATTCAGCATTGATTTTTTTTACTTTCTTTGTCTCATAAAAAAATGAATATCATATTTTGTTATTGAAGTAAAACTAGTTACATTTATATTTGATTTTAATGCAAAGCTCAAGCATAGTTACGTAACATTTTTTCATCTATTTCTATTATAGCTGTAACCTATGGAAGGGGACAGATAATTACCATTACTTTGGGTTAATTCTTCGAGATCACCGTGTGTTTATAGGGCGTAGCATTAAGCTGCCGGCGTTTTTCCGTCATGTTTGCATTCCGTTTACGCGATTCAGCTCCTTTGATTTAACGGACTCTCTCTTTCTCTCTTTAAAAGTGAAATAAAAGATCGGATGGGATCAAGCCGATATTTTCAACCGATACTTTTCCTCCGCGCCTCGCAGTCGAGAGCACGATTATCGCGCAGCGCGCGCTCGCCGTTTCTAAATGCCACATTTGTTTACCGAGTAACAGGGCCGGTTTCACCATGCTATTCTTGGAATTAGATAATATATGTATACCGTTACATAATAATGAAATAAAATAATATATTTTCACATCTATCAATCTTGTTTTCATATATCATGATAAATAACAACAAATATGATTTATGAATTCCAATATATCTAGTCCGATGAGCGATAGAACGGATCGTTAGAATTGCAATTAATTACGCATATTAGAAACGCACGCGAGGGATATATTACTTTTATGCTATAATTTAAAATAAACTAATATATATTATTTCGATGTCAAACAGGACGATTTAAATGGAACGTTAATGAGATTTATGGCGTAACATAGAGTGCAGTGTAATGTGAAAGTTATTTTATTGCAGCTCTTAAGTTAAATATCCGCGACACTTAAGTTAGATATTTGCGATATCATCATTGCGCATTATATATTTCAAGCAAATCAATTTATTTTATTGTAGTTTTCTTCACTTAATTGTAAGCCTGTTGGATCGAGATCGACCGAAGCGATAAAGCAGCGGCCCTGTTCGTGAATCAAACATAGTGCCAGCGCTGTGCCAGCGGCACTAATCGCTTATCGCTCAGTGAAACCACACCTGCGCGATCGTGGCACAGGCATTTTTCTTCTAATGAATTGTCTTCTCGCGTTGTGAGAAACGCGAGAGTCCCAAATGACGCGCGAGAGAGACATCACCTGTGCGGGCGCAGAGGCATTGAAGTCACTACACGGCGAGAATCGCGCACGATTCAGCAATCGTGCGCGGTGGGTTTCCTCTGTTCTTTGTTACTTTCCCCGTTGTTTTAAGCCAAAATACGTATTCGCGTTCGCGAGGCTACGTCATATTTTCTCGATGTACGAAGGCCGTATTCGGAAATAAAGACAAGACGTCCCGCGTTGAACGAGCACGGTGATGGTATGAATGTACGGTCTGTATTACTGGCGCGTGCGATCCAGCGGTAAATACGATTACTCACTGTTAAAAAGAGTTCAATTAAATCCTCAAAAAATTCGTCAGAGCTATTAGGAGAATATATCTTGCAAAAGATAAGAGATGTGGTAAACTAAATCTCGTGCTCTCCGCGATTTTCTTAAATTTTTCTTATCTTCGCATCCTTATTATCGATATTCTTTAAAAAAATATATATATATATACATATTAGCGACAATGATCATTGCTTTATATAATTTTTCTAGAAATTTTTTTAGACAAATTCCTCTTAGAATTTTATCACAAAGTCGTAGTCTTAAAATCTCCACAGATTCTAGATATTCTCTATATTTTTGTTTCTTCGATATAGTAATAATATATGTAACAATTATGCGAAACATTATATATTTTGAATAATTAATTAAAAATTTTATACGTCTGTTATTCAGAATCTGTCCTTAGAGATTTATTTCAAAATATTCCGTATTTTTTTATAGGTTTTCAAAATAACTACTGGACAATAAACAACTAATAAATAAACAAAATGATCTTGCTGCATTATATAAAAATACAAAAGACGAGCGTCAACACGCGATCGACCCCTCACCTGTCTTGTTCTCTCATTAAACCAACGCAATGATTCCCGTGCCGACGACGCACCATCTGACTGACATCCCGAGCGATCGGAGCGGCACGCGCGCACTTTTTTCACCGAGCAGCGATTCGCGGAAACTGCGTTTCAGGAGCCCGCGACCACGCGATGTCCGTTGCGATCGCACGCGTGATTCGCGCGTGCGCGATAGATTCCCCTCTTAATCCGTTTAATCGACGCCC